TTGATGCCAAAGGCCTTTTAACCCTTTTCTCTCTGCTCCTTTATTATTTTATTTATTCTGCCCTGCATGAATTTCTAGTCTCTATTTCTTTGCCTGGAAGCATTTTTTTGTTATTCCTGCTTCTTGGTGTCCAAATCTTATTTCTTTTTATATTATTGTGCACTTTGAGCCTCAAGTCACTCGAGTTGGAGTTATAATTTGAATATAAACTGTCCCCTATTAGGCTAATGTGTTGAAAGCTTGGTCCCCAGGTTAGTAGTCACTGTTGTTATTTTGAGACTTAGCTGTAGAAGTTAGGAGACCTAGTCAGAGGATGCATGTCACTAGCTGTCCCCAGGGAACACATACCTTGTCTGAGGCTCCTTCCCATCTGTTTCCTGTCCTTCATGAGATGAAGAACGTCTTCCTCTTTTGCCGTGATGTTCTGCCTCAACACAGGCCTAACAGTCATGGGGCTAAGGCATAGGACAAACCTCTGATAATGTGAACCGAAATAAAACTTCTCCCCCTTCTCTCTCCCAGTACAATGCAAACTCTAAATTTATTGAACAGTTGTAGGTCATCCCATGGGCCCTGAGGATAGATACCTAGAATCTAGCACCGAGTTCCTCACAGCAGAGCTTCCAAGTCTCTGTTCTGACTCCAGCAGGGCAAATACATTATCCTTGTGTGCTGGACCTTTCAGCTTAGGTGTGATGGAGTAGCTGGTACTGTCATAAATCGCATGCACATGAGTGTGCACTGTCCCTGTGAGCTGGTCCTGCCCAGCATGCCAGTGATGCCAGTTAGCTTAATGGACTACACTGGAGTAGTGCTCACGATGGCATCTGTTTCCTCTTTAATTTGTGTCATAGTGCAAGGCTGGGTGTGGTGGGGGCACACCTGCCATCCCAGGACTTTGGATGTTCATGCAGGAGGATTCTAAGTTCTAGTTTGGGGCCCCACGAAGAGTTGTGATTCTCCAAAGGGAAGTCTGGGGGCTGGGGGATTTGGCTCAGTTGGTTGAGTGCTTCCTAGCATTTATATTAGCCCTGCATCCAATGCCCAGCTCTGCACAAACACGTGTGGTGTGTGCCTGGAATCCCGGAACCTGAGGTAAAAGCAGAAGTATTGGAAGTTCAAGGTCATCATTGTGTGCACCGTGAGTGAGGCCAGTCTGGGCTACTCCAGAGTTTGTATTAAAAACATTTTTTTTCTAATATAGTCAGTTCTTAAAAATATTGATGTGACAAATTGACCCCTAAGAAACAGATTTCATGTTGAAGTGAACTTGGACTGTGTTGCTTGCTTGAAGCTCTGTCATATTTCCAGGGGTCAAGAAGACTCTGGGGAGCGCTATGATCAAGAATTCTTAATTCCCACCTTAAGTTCAGTTGGTAGTCAAATTCTTTCTCCTTTATATCTATTAACACATTGCAGGTGTTGACGGTACAGCAACCTCCCACTTCGACCTATGAGGAGAACTCTGTGGTCCAGAGACAGCTGTGCTTATACAGCTAGTGGAAAAGCTGTCCTGCTGTCCTACCTGGTCCTCTCTCAGCATGACCCTGGACTGATGTACATGCCATTCACACCCAGGGGGGAGCTTGCATAATCTGTTTGTAGTGCATGTTGCCTGCTTCTCTTTCCCAGCGTCTGAACTTTGTCCCACGTCTCTTTCCTGAACATCATTCTTTTCAAGTGTTTCTCTGGCTTCTCTTTTATATCTACCAGATGTCTTATGAGTAAGTAATAAAGGACTCCAATCAAAGTTTCCTATGCCTCATCAAATCACACACACACACACACACAAATAGCCAATACTTTTTAAAAAGTATACAACTGTTTTATGTCAAAAACACAGTAGTAAAGTTGAGGGTATGGTGAGGGGGACCAGGTTTGTTATGAAAGTTAGGTTTAGTTAGCCACACAGGGTCATTGATGAGTGAATACATATAGGTTTAAGTCTTGGTTTTGAGGGTTTTAAAGGAAATTTTTGGATAATTATATATAAACTAAATATTTTATGATCTTAAAAAAGGCTTGAGAGACTTTGTCTTGTCCAAGTGATTGGCAGACCCCTTTGGGTGACTCCCACAGAAACAATGCCATGTGTTTGTTCTATAAGACAGCTTCCTGATGGAGAGTAATCATGTAAGAATCAAGGCTCCTGGAGTCGGTTTTAAAATGTGATCCTTTAATGACCTTTCAGGCAGTTTCGGATGCCTCATCACCTTCCAGGTCCAGAGGACTCAGGTCCCATTCTTCTGAACGGTAATTCAAGTCCTACTGTTTCAGTCCTTACTTTATAGGCTGTTGTCTGTGAGAGAGGTGTCCAGCCCCAATGCCCTCAATGGCTCCTTGTCTAATGCTCAACTTTGTGGGGAGCGTGGAAACACGTAAGAGGAACAACACTGAAGTTAGTCAGAAATCTGCATCTAGAGCCTTTGCTTTGGGATAAGTGCAATTGTTCCGCAAGCATGTGTGCATGCGTGTGTGTTTTGAGACAGGGTCTCTCTGGATAGCCCTAATTTGCTAAGTAGATTGAACTTATTTCTGACTCAGATCTGACTGCCTGTACTTCCCAACAGAGATTTAAAATCCTTTTAAATATTTTTATTTTTAACTAGGTGTTGTATATGTGGATGTGTGTGTAGGTGTGTGCACCTGAAGCACCATGCCTAATAGAGGCCAGAGGCATGAGATTCCTTAGTACAGAGGTACAGACAGATGGGAGCTGTTTTACATGGATGCTGAGAACTAAGCTCAGGTGCTGAGCCATCTTTCTGGCAACCCCCATGCCTGCCTTTTTGAGTTAACTCTTAAGTAGCTCAGGCTGGTCTCAAACTCACTTTGTCCTCGAGGATGACCTTGAACTACTGATCCTTCTGCCTCCACATGGTGAGTGGTGGAATTACAGGCATGTGCCAACATAACCTGGCTAGAGCAAGGATGCTTCTGAGGGCTGTATTATCATTAAGGGATTGCCTCACCATGGAAACATCAGTGCTGGGTCTCCAAGCCGGGATCTTAAAGTTCCTCCATATCTGCTATTGGCCCTCCTCCAGTTCCTGTTAGTGTTATTGTCCTTAGCGGATCCCGATCCCCAATGATTTTCATGCTTTTCAATACCAACTGTGGTGAATCTGGACATGATTGACTGGTGAGGGATAACGACTATTGACTTGTGGTTTTAGGAAAAAAAAATCATTCGCACCTTTGTTTCCAGGTCATTTTACATCAGTTCCTCTCCAACATCCGCAATGGCTTTGAACGCTTTGGGTGATAGTGGCCAGAAGACCACAAGAGCAAATTAAACAGTCTGGAGATGTTCTAGTGTGAGCTGCAGGAGACTGCTGACACAGGGGACCCCCCTCCCCACTGCTTCATAGTACCCTGTAATACACAGGAGGCATTCCTTCTAAAATAGAGGTAAAAGCACCCTACAGTAAACAGTAAGCCGGTAACATAGTCATTTAGCATCACTCAGCCTTATATGCTATCCATAATCGTGTGTGCTTTGCTTTTGATCAGCAGCCAGCACACAGGTTTTTCTCGAATACCCCAGCATCACAGACACATGTGAGTGGTGCTGTGTGCTTTGATGGTACTGTGGCGACGTCACCAGGCAACTGCTTGCTTTCAGATTATCATGATCCCTGTGAGCAGTCACACTGTCTATTCCTCATCATACGCAGCAAGCTGGCTTTAGCAGTTTGAACATGCTCAGGTGCACTGCTAGCTTCACTGAGTCTGTTTCCAGTTCATCAAATACCCCGAGTGACACATGTCTGATCCAATGTAACGTCCGACTCAGCGCCTTTGGAATCTTAAAATGTGTATCTTAGAATGCGGTGTGGTGGTGGAGGGGACAGAGCCAGTGGAACCGCAGAGGAGCAGAATGGTCCGATTTGTGTCCTTGGCTGCAACTTCCAAGCTCAGGTCCTCCCAGGTCTCCCAGGAACCCTCTTCCCCCAAGTTTGCCCAGCTGTCACCCTCACAGCCCACCGGGCAGCAATGAGTCATCCACAAGCCCTCCAGTCCCGTCTCCATCATTTCTTCAGTGGCTTGTGCGTGTTACAATCTCCTGAAGCAATTTGTTTTCCGAATCTGGCTGTCCTGTTAAGTTGGGTTTGGCCCACACCTTCCATTTCTTGTCTGCACTGGGAGGCGATTGGACACTGGGGAATTAATAGATGCATTCAGTCAGCAGCCAGCACCAGGAGGGTCTACCTAACTGCTTGTTCCTCCTGCTCATAAGACAATATCCTCTTGAAGACATGCTGGCGACAGCAAACTTTGGCTTTACCAAGAGTGCCTGCAAATCACAGCCTTGCCCTTGCATTTGGACATGGGAGCGGAGGGTTGCTATGAAATCCATGAAAATTATGGACTACCCAAGAAAAATAAAAATATGTTAACACAGTGGTTTCTTCCCTTGGAAGCTGTGAATTTTGAGTAACGTACCCTCCTTGTGTGTGTGTGTCCAGTGTCTACAGTGATGTGCTGTTTTGTGAAATTGATGCTGACAGTGATTAGGGGAATAGACTGGAGTTGGACCACATTTTCACAGGAAAGCTAGGGCACCCCCTTTTCAGAGTGCTTCAACTTAGAACCCAATTTAAAAAAACAAAAAGCATTTTTATGCCAATTGTAGTGTATACGTCCGTTATCCTAACACTAGGAGGCAGTCAGGAAGATTTCCAGTTCAAGACCGGACTGATACATAAAGAGTTCAAGACCAGCCTGGGGTATATATCCAGACACTTACTTAAAAATCCAACCCAAGAAAGCCGACATAAAAAGTTTCAAGACCTTTCTTCCTCCTAGGGAGCATTTGAAATTTTGTCCTGTGGGGTTTCCCAATCAGTTTTGCGGTGTTCCTCTTTGAAGACCGTGGCAGTGATGGGAGGAAGCAGGGTGAGGTGGTCTAAGGCGGAACCAGCGCACCTGATGTGCTGTCACTTATTGGCTAGCTAAGAGGACCTTGACCAACCGGGAGCTGCCTCGTCGTCATGGCAACGAGACACGCTAACGCTAGTGTCCTGGGAAGCTGGCTTTCTGACTGAGCAGCGACGATGGCGCAGAACTTGTATGGTCCTGGAGTCCGGATGGGCAACTGGAACGAAGACGTCTTTCTGGAGGAGGTGCGCAGGGTGCCGCCGCGTTGCCAGGATCCCAGATCCTGCCCTGCACGCTCCCTCTGTGCTGCTCTGAGCACGTAGCCTCTTCTCACCCAGCCTCACCGTGTCCCCCACTCCTCTTTGAGGAACCCGAGGTAGCACATCTGCTCTGCTCTCTGAGCACCCGCTTCGCGGTTCCTGAACCCACAGCAGGCACAGATAGCTTCCTTCTGGGTTCTCCGCCTTCGCCAGCTTTGTGGCACCCCTAGGTGTTGGGAAGGTTCTGGGGTTACGAGTGTATGGCGAAAACTAGGCTTTCGACATACTCACCACACAGTCAGGAGGACCCCGGTAGAGACTGCCGGCCTCCAAATACCACTCCTGATTGTCTGTGGACGGGGTAAGCATAGGGACCCTCTCTTTTTCTTCTCCATGCATTTTTCGTCGCAGGTTTTCTAAGCACTCCTCCGTGACACGCTGAGGACATTTCTGCCATCCTCGTCACGATCACATTTCCCTTTGTGTTCTCAAACTGTCTTTGAACTTGAGATGCTTCTGAAGGAAAATCTACCAGGACTTGTGCTCTGCAACAGCCCTGCCCTGCACTCCCCTTGACCCTGTCTTTGCATCCCCAGGAGCGCATGAGAGACTTCCTAGAGAAGAGGGAGAAGGGAGAACTTCTTATACAGAGGAACAGAAGGCTGAAAAAGAATCTCTTGAGACCGGTAATCTCAAATTTCTCAAATTCCAACGCCAGTTTCAAACTGCTGTCAAACTAAGTGTGAGTTAAGCAAGGAAAACATCTATAAACAACTAGCCATTTGGAAAATTAAAAAAAATTAATCTGAAAAGTAGTTTTTTTTAAGTTCTCCAATATCTTAGAAACATAAAGGAAAGTCTCTTCTTAATTATGTTTGCAACTAGAGGAATGGATTAATGCTTGCCCAAATAAAGTGCCTTCTAGTTGCCGCTCGAGAATGTTGGGTTGAGAGAATTGATAATGGGATTATCAATTCCAGCGGCTTTGCTTGATCTTGTTTAGGGTCATTGGGAACTTGCTTGACCGTGTGGAAGGGAAGGACACTAAGGAGGGAAAGAAGGGAGGGCCTTATTGAAATGGTGCCAGTCTGAGAAAGAAAGGAGGTACCCTCGGGAGGGACCTAGGTCTCAGCATCTAAGGAATTGGTTGGCTTATTGGAAAATTCCTTTAAAAACTGTAGATGGAGCTTTCGGTATCGCAAGATGGCTTTGTCCACTACGGTGATAAAGTGATCCTCGTGAACCCTAACCACGCCCGGGGGGAGGAGGCTGGCGTGTTTTTGGAAGGAGACCTGTGCCTGTGTGTGAGTCCGGATGAAATTAAAGCACAGCTATGCGATGAGTTGGAAATACCCTGTGCTGTGAGTGCTGTCCAGACCACCGTCCCGACGGGCAGGAACACCTTCACCATTTTGAGGTAGGGACTCTCATTCAGGGCATTGCAGTATCTGCTTGGATTTGTAGCTTAAAGATCCGAGATGAGACACTAGTCAGTGTTTCCCTCATATGTGTGAGGACCTGAGCTGGATTCTTAGAAACCCTATTTAAAAAAGCTTAGTGTGGTGACCCTTACTTTTGTAATTCCAGCACTGGGCAGGAAGAGACATGCAGATCTCTGAGCCTTACTCGTCAGCCAGCCTAGCTTACTTATTGAATTTCAGGCCAAATGAGACACTTTATTTTTAAAAGGTGAACAGCATCTGAGGAATACCACTGTGCACACACACAAATACACACAAACACACAGATACACAGATGGACACACACACATGGACATGGACACTAACACCAACACGGACACACACACACACACACACTGAGATCAGGTAATAATGGCTGCAAGCAAAGGTTATGGGAACATTTTCTGACGTCTCATCTTGTTTGCTTACTTGAGAAACATTGCTGAGGGCCCTTATATGCCTGCTGCTGAAGACAACAGGTTAATTAGCTATTTGTGTTCAGTTCAAAACGTTTGCTTCATGGTGGTCAGATCCAGAGAATTGAACTTACATTCTGCCTGGAAGTAAAGGAAAAATTTCCAAACCATGTTGCAGGATGCTTTGTGCTCACAAGATAGTTTCCATGGTTCTTGCTAGCTTCGCAACAAAAATAAGTCATGTAATAAAAGGCTACACGAGATGGGTTTTCCTCTTTTCAAATCAGTCGTCTACCAAAATTGACCCGAGGTTTTAGAAATGATTAATGAGACCCTTAGAGACATACAATCACAACTCAAACTACCATTTTGACTTTGAAGACTGTGGCACTTCTTCAGTGACAAGGGCAGAGCCTTGTACCCTCCTGCACCCTTCATTTAATTTGTCTTAAGTACAGATGGCTTGCGGTAAAACAACTTAAAGTCGAGGACCAGTTCTGTCCCTGGAAGATGATGAGGGAAGATTGTATTACATGCCCGCAGAGGTACAGCCTTGGCTCGGCCTAAAAACGTCAGTGCACATGATCAGAAGTTCTTGTCATACGTTGACATGGCATGCTTAGTCTACTCCAAGCAAAGGCTACAGAGCGGGGAGGCTCTGGGTTTGATCTGTGGGGCAGAGCAGGTAATAGCGAGCTCATGCTAGCTGAATGTTGAGGCTAAAACGAAAGAACTTTTATAGCTGGCTATGGTGGTTTACAGCTGTAACACCAGCACTCCCAGGAGGCCGAGGCAGGAGGATTCCTCCAAGTTCTATGTCAGCCTGGGCTTCAATGTCAGACTGTCTCAAAACACCAAAAAAACAAAACCGTGCATTTCTCAACTAAAGACATGAATAGAAAAATACAAGAAAAAAATCTTACAGTTGGTGATTGAGAGTATTTTAAGTAATGTTGCAAAAGTGGATATTGGGATTCAGCACGGTGATTCTTATCAGGGTCTCTTGATAACATCTCCGATCTCTGAGGTCTTTGCCTGACAAGCCAAACAGACCAGAGAGCAACGTTTGTTATTTGTGTATGGTGTGTGAATAGATGTGATAAGAAACACGAGGGAATGATGGGAAGGCACAGCCCTCACTCTGTCCCCTTGCTCTAACCCTCCAGCGATAGCACAGACAGGAGTGCTGTGGGCCAAGTCCTTAGATATGGGCAGAGCTTCTGCCTCGGGATAGCCGCCGGCCTGGAATGCAAGATGGTGAGTCTTCCTGTGCGTGTTCCTCTCGTCGGTCCTTATTTACCAAGACGGCCAAGGGCTACCTCCAGAGGGACTGTGCAGATGGGGGCCCCATTTCTGCTGTCACTGTGGATTCAGTCTGTGGGGTCCAGGGGGCATGGTGTACCCGATTCTTTCCTCTTAGCTTTGTCAATAACAAAACAAATAAGCAAACAGCATCCTTGTCCTTAAAAGCTAAGGAGTGAAGAGAGAAAAGTCTTTTTTTTTGGTAATGCAGCTATCAAAAGGCCAAAATTTATGCCACGTCAAATACTAAATGAAATGAACAGGTTAACTGACCTTTGCCGTATGCCACCAATACCAGCAAAGATATACATTGCTTAGACTAATCTTGAACTTCTGGACTCAGAGTGATCCTCATGTCTCAGTGTCCTGTCTAATATCTGGGACTGTAGGCATGGACCCTTGTGTCCAGCTCTGGCATTTTAAGCTTTTGATTAGCAATTTTTTTTTCCTAAGAAGTAATAAGGACAAGTTGAGCTTGCGGAAGTCAGGAAGCTTAAGTCTCTGAGAATCTCCTTTACTTTGGAGATAATGAAGTATAATAGGCCAGGGGCCATGGCACACACCTATAAACTCAGCCCTTGGGAGGTGGAGGCTGGAGGATTGCTGTGAGTCTGAGACTCACCTGGGCCATAGAGTGAGACCGATCTGTACAGAACCAAACAGACAATAGAAAGAACCAGATAAACTTACACTTGAGTTTCCCATGCAAGCTCTGTAATAGGGATTTGTGTAAAGTAAACATTTGAGTCGGTGACTCAAAGTTGGAGCACCGTGCCAGGCAATGCCGCAATTGCTTCACACATGCTGACTCAATTGTTTTCACGTGTATCCCTGACATAAGAACACCGGGAACCAGGCATTCAACTCCTAAACGGCAGAGCTTAGAACCATGGGCATTGTTATGGTTTGAGTGTGGAAAGTCCCCTCCCCACCCCATAGGCTCTAGTGTTTGGACACTGAGTTCCCCAGTGCTCTTTTGGGAGTTGGGGACCAGCTGCAGGAAGTGATTGGCAGTGGGGGAAAGACCTTATAGCTCCTTCTGGTTCGGGCCCAATCTTTCCGCTCCTTGGTCGGTTGAGATGTAATCAGTGGCCCCATGGGCACAGCCTCAGCTGTCCCTGATGCCAAGCCTTCCCCACCACGAGAGACTAATTCCTGAAACTGTGAGCCCCAGTAAGCCCTTTCCACTGCAAACTGTGTCTTATCAGGATTTGGGGACAGCAAATGAGACAAAGGAAACGAGCAAGAAATCCCAGTGTTGTCCGACACGACATCAGTCCTTTTGGTACCACTGAGCCAAACGACGGTGCCAGTCAAACTATGCCCTGCATAGAGGTGTCCATCTGCAGCCTGAGTTTAGAAACAGAAATGAAGCATGTAAGTCGTTGAGGCAGGGGCATAGCACCCAGAGATGTGCACACCGTCATCTGTCTTCTTTGATTGGTGCGTTCCTATGTGTCTTCCTCAAAGCACACAACTCGGCTGTGACCATAATGAGCACCCAGCTTCTTTCTACTTCGGTGTTTTCAAAGCGCTCCTTAACAGTTACGTTTAAGGAGTGCCTAACGTATTATAGTGCGCCCGTGTCAGAGTGACCCAGTCCTTAGTCTATCTTCGGGCAGGCTCCTTTGCTTTCTTCTTCTTGTGGTCTTGAACTAGCGATCTTCTTGCCTTAGCCTTCTGAGTTCTGTGATTCCACGTTTGTGTGCCACCATGCCTAACTGAGTTTGCTATCCTAGTTTCTGTCACGTATAGGTTTTATGTGTGTAGGTGGGGATTTACTTATTTACTTATTTAGCTTAAAGCTCACGCCCCTCAAACCCCGGTTAGTGAGTCTTTCTCCAGAATAGATTTTTTTTTCTTTTGGCCTAGCATTACTGATATCAAGAATGCGAATACAAACAGAAGTATTGAAAGCTGGGTAGAGTAACACACACCTATATTTTCAGCACTTGGAGTGCTGAAGCAGGGGGATTGCCACAAATCCCAGGTCAGCCTGTGTTTCAGAGTGAGATCCTGTTTTGTTTTTTGTTTTTTTTTTTTTTTTAGGGTAACATGAAACCAGTTCTTTAATTGATTGGGCCAATCTGTACCCTCAGCAACAGTAAATGCAGAACGCATTAAGCGTGGCAAACAGCATAATCTAAATCTTTGCTTATCTTATGGACAAACAGGAAAGGATATGTAGATGTTGCAGTACCCGGTTCAGTTCCTGTACGTCTGCCCTTCCCCCTGCTACATCCTCACTTTTCCTCCCTGTCTTTGCCATCTTTAGTCTTTCCCCCTGGGGACCATGTGGTCTTTGTCTCTGTATTGACGGGGCTTTACCTCTCTGCCCTTTGGATGGATGATTAAATTTTGCATATTTGTTACTGCTATTCCACCCCCCATTTTAAGTTGTAGTTATTTTAATTCTATTTTTGAGATACATCTATCAGTTTTCCTTTGAAACTATTTCTTTGTGTGGGCGTGGGAGGGGCGTGTGCACGTGCGCGTGTGTGCCTGTGTGCCCAGGACACCATTTAGAGGTCAGTTTTCACTTTTTGCCTTGTTTGAGACAGGGTCTTATTCATGGAGTCCTCTCCTTAGCCCCTACATTGCTTTTAAGGTTTAGTCTGTTAGAGATAAGTATTATCTTATCTTATAAGTATTTAGTCTGATGAGGAAGATAGGTATTACTTTCTAGATGTTTACAGTTGGACATTTGTTTACATTTATTCTTTAATACACTTGAGATTTATTTTGGCAAAAGGTTTGGTCCCCAAGTTCCCCAAATGATCATCCATCTCACGTGTTAGCTCTCAAATAATTCTTCCTCCTGACACACGGTGCTTCCTTAGGCATATATTAAACTACCCTATGCACCGCATGCTTTTCCTGAACGTTCTATTTTGAGCCACTGCAGTCGTCGATTTTTACTCTAGACAGTGTTGTAATTATACAGCGCCGTAATGCACGTTGACAGATCTTTGTTCCTCTCCTTTCTCTCCCTTTGTCTGGGTTACATTAGGAATTAATCTTTGAGCTAAATGCAATGATTATCTTCTCCAGTCCCTCGGCCTGTGCGGGGGAAAGCCACTTTGTGTGTGGCTGGCACTGTAAACCTAAGTGCTTTATTTAGTCACCGCTTTGGAGGTTTGACTCTTGTAAGGTGTCTCTCAAATTCTTTCAGGAAGGCATGTCAGCTCTTGGTCAGGTTTTATGACTCGCCTCACACGGTTGGAGCATTGGTCTTGATAGTGTTGTTCCCTCCTGTTGGCGTTTGAATGTCCCTTCAGCAAAACTCCTTTCTATTCAGGTCCAGTTCATTCTCTCTCTCCGTAGTACACATCTGCCATCTTTTCATTCTCAAGGCCAGCCATGGTCTGGGCCTCATCGGTCTGACCGGTCTTCTGAGGAACACCTCTAAGCATAGGAGATCCTCTCTCTAGGCCTCATATCCCACTGATGCCACCTTGAGAATCAGTCACATGGGGGACAGTCAACATCCAGAGGGTAGCAAGATACTGCTCTTTTTTTTAAAATTTTTTTTATGATTTATTTATTTTTTTATTTTTATGTGCATTGGTGTGAAGGTGTCAGATCCCCTGGAACTGGAACTGGATTTTCAGACAGTTGTGAGCTGACATGTGGGTGCTGGGAATTGAACCCGGGTCCTCTGGAAGAGCAGTCTTCTTAACCTCTGAGCCATTTCTCCAGCCCCCAAGGTACTGCTCTTATTCACAGCCCATCACCCCTCTCGCAGGCAGAGGATTATAACTTGCTCATGCCTTCCTCTTTGTACCTCAAGCACAGCTTAGTAGATAATAAAGCATGCACAAAGGGCCAAGGAAATGGCTCAATGGCTAAGAGCAGTTGTTGCTTTTGTAGAAAACCCAGGTTCATTTCTCAGCATGCACACAGTGGCTCACAACCAGTCCCAGAGGATCTGAAGCCTCCTTCTGACCCCAGCGCAGGCACCAGATGTACACACGACACATATACGTACATGTTGATGAAACACTTGTTTATAAATAAAATCTAATTTTTTTTAACACACTAAAACCTTATTAAAAGACAGAGAAACCACCTTCATGTTCAAGGTGAAGGCAAACAAGCAAAGAGCTAACAAAGAGAACATTCTGAACTCCCAGCAGGATGGGATGGCTCTTGACAAGGGTAGCCGTGTATCTAAGCTCCATTCCCAATGGGAACAAGGACTCCAGATGGTCAGGGTCACTAGAAAGTCACGAGCCAGTGCCGGCTGTGATGAGCCCAGGCTGAAGAGCACTTCATCTCAGGTGCCTGGTTTCGGTAATGTTATTTATAGCACGGAGGATACAGACCCAGGTCCCATGTTTTGAAAGAGAAGGGGAGCAGGAAATGGAGTATGGAAAAATGTTTTATTTTCTGTTGCTGAGACACAACACCACGACCAAGGCGACAGGGAAAAAAAGTATTTAATTTGGAGGTTCATAGTTCCAGAGTGTTAAGAGTCCGTGACCATCCTGGCAGGCGGAATTGGCATCAGATAGGTAGAGATGGTGCTGGAAGAGGAGTTGAGGGCTCATATCTGCTCTTTAAGTAGGAAGCAGAAAGAGGAATGGTATGGACTTCTGAAACCTTGAAGCCTACCCCTGGTGTGAGGCATCTCTTCCAATAAGGTCACACACACCTCCTAACCCTTTCCAAACAGTCCACCAACTGGGACCCATGTATTCAAGCATAAGAGCTTGGGGACCATTCTCCTTCAAACCATCACAGGAAAGAGAAGAGGGGGTACAGGGGAAGGAGGGAGGGAAAGAGGGGGAAAATGCTATTCTGACAATATATTTCTAAGGAAGGGGAAAGTTGTGTTTTCTTACAGGAGGGGGGAGGAAACAGGGTTCTAGAAGCTGCTTTCGTGCCTACTGGCTGCACAGTCTCTCTGGTTGCCCATTCCCCGGCTTTCTCCGTAGCGGTGACTCTGCCCATGTGCCGTTTCCAGCTCTATTTATCGAGTGACCACAGGACCCTTCTGAAGTCCTCTAAGAAGTCCTGGCTCCAGGAGGTGACTCTGACAGATGAGAACTCCCATCTGAACTGCTGGCAGGCTACCTTTCTCGACCCCCAGCTGCGCCTGGAATATGAAGGCTTCCCAGTTAGGGTGAGCTTGGCGTGAAGGCCACCGGGCCTGGGGTCTGTGAGAGGAAGGGCTGGGGCTCACACCTGGCCTTCAGGCGGAGGCTCACCGCCACTCTAACCGCAGGAAGATAGCTTCTTTTTCTTTCGTTTGTAACTTAACTGTGGACAGCGCCGGGTTGTTCTGAGGCAGCGCTTTGAATTCCTGTCTCTGAACCCTGGCTGCAGATTAGAATCACTGCACAAAGAGTACAAAAGACCCAGGGTCCCTGGGCACTCCCAACACAGCTCTGTAGAGATCCCTGCATGCAATGCTTTTGGCAACCTAATCTGTATAAGCTTCCCTCCCTCCTCCTCTTCCTCCTCCTCTCCCTTCCTCCCTTCCTCCATTAACCCCATCCTCTTCCTCTGTTTTCTCTCTTTCTCTTCCCCTCTTCTTTTCTTTTCTCCTTTCTCTCCTCCCCTCCTTTCCCTCTCTCCTTTTTTCCTCTATCTCTGCCCCCTCTCTTTCCTCCTCTCCCCCTCCATTCGCTTCTCTTCTGCTCTCCTTTATTTCCTTCCTTCCCCTCTCCCTCCCTTTCTCTCCTTCCCTCCTCCCTTCTCCCTCCCCACTCCTTTCTTTCCTCACTCTGTAGCCTTGGCTGGCCCAAGACTCTCCTTCTTTCCAAGTATCCAAACAGTACCACTTTGCTTGACTTAAGTTCTCATCTCGAAAGATCCTGGGAAGCCGAGGGAAGGGACGGAGGCAGCAAGCAGCTACCGACTACCGAGGCAGGCACAATCCCTGATCACTCTTGTTTTGGATTCTGGACCAAGTGTGATGGAGCATGAGACATGATCCTTTTGGGAGGTTGCTATGGGCACAGAGCAAGCTTGATGCCTCTGCGTCTCCAACCCAAGGCTTTGCTACATATCCAAGGGGGCATCTGTTATAGGAGAGGGAGGGTTTTTAGGACTCACTGCCAGCATCCGAGCATCTGGCATCAGCAGTTTTATAGGATTGCCCGTGGGAGGGGCTACAGTTCCAGGTTCCTCTGAATCTGCCCCACACAGTGGGTCCATTTCTTCAAAGCTCTGGCAGGGGACCCCAGTTCCTGGAGGCTCCCTCCAAGTTTACAGGGTGGAGGATGGTTACCTTATCCACAGTGAAGGAAGCTTGGCAGAATTTTCTGGGCAGCCATCCTCTCCTTGCTTGGCATTCCTAAGACGGCATTAGGAACTGCTGAATATATACGTGTGTGTGTGTGTGTGTGTGTGTGTGTGTGTGTGTGTGTGTGTACTTAACAGCACCAGCCACGTTTCAGGTTGTCAAAAATCTTCTTACATATGACTTTGAATAATTATTCCACCCTGTAGATATCTACCATGGTGCATTTCATGAAGGCCATTGTGGTTCCCCAGCCTTGTAGGTTATATATACAATACATTGATATGAATATGTTAATATTCTCTAGACTTTTGCTTCCAGGAAATTGTACAGAATGCTGATGGTACTCTTTTCCTATCCTGTAAAGGCAAATGAAAAGCTTGTCATCTACCATCGTCACACAAACCGAGCCTTGGCAGCCCATCGGCATCTCCCCTTAAGGTACCATACTGCGGGTGTAAGAGAACGCCATAGTGGGCTCGGGTCGTGCACGTAAAAGCAGAGATGTTTGGCTAGATGTCTGTGTCTAGTCATGTGAAGTAAAGGTTTTTAGGTGATGAATTTAACACGGACCACATTGTTCATAAAAATTATTTAAAAGTAAAGGTCAGTTTTCATTTTCGTTTAGTGTTAAGCATACCAGACAAGTCAAATATGTGAAAATCCTTGTTAATGCTCAACGTTATTTGAATATTTCTGCTCTGTGATACAAAGATAAGCACTCAGTTGGCATGTCAAATACCTTTTTTTTGTCAAATGACAGATTTTATTTTATAATTCAGAAAGGGGTTACTAAGTTTATGAAGACAGTCAAAAGACAAAATTTAGTTTAAATTTGGGGTGGGCCATATATTTATCACCTGAAATCTTGATTGGTCTAAATTTAAAATCCAAAAGACTTGATTTTGCAAATACTTATTTTTATTTATTTATTTGAGACAGGGTTTCTCTTTGTAGTTTTGGATCCTGTCCTGGACCTAGCCCTGTAGACCAGGCTGGCCTCGACCTCACAGAGATTCGTCTGCCTCTGTCTCCCGAGTGCTGGGATTAAAGGCATGCGCCACCACTGCCTGGCACAAATACTTCTTTTTAACATTAAAGAAACTTAATGTATTATATTTGAGAAAAACTTTGTCAGAGATACCTACACGGCCCACACATCATCTATTGACTGGAATTGTAACTGGTAACTTTTAAATGTCATAATTTTGAATTATGGTGCTGAAATTCTGCCTTGTGTAGAACTTTGATGCTGCTATCTAGTAAAGTCTTCCCTGATGGGAGGATGTTGGCTATAAACATCCTCATGTGCCTAAACCTCCGAGAACAGGGAGGGAAATATTCCTGCAAACGTACATTTTAGGGGCTCTACTGGGCTTTACAGAGTGGTCTGGCCAAAGAGGAATGATTTCCTAGGAGGGATGAACACAGTCGTTCAGCTTTTGATTGGAATCCACTCTTTTTTGTTCCAGGACCTACTTTGGGAAGGAAGTTGAGGTTGCAGCTCACACACATCTGGATTCACACAAAGTTGAAAAACCCAAGAACCACTGGATGCTGGTTACTGGGAATCCCAGGAACAAGGCGACCACCATGCTGGACCTCCCCAAACCTCCCACAGATGACACCCGTGCTGTGGAGCAGGCCATGGGCATCAGCACATAGTGACACACACCAGGCACACATGGGGCCTCTTGGGCCCTGTTCTCAGCAACTGTAGGTCTTAAAGAGAAATGAACAATCTTGGTTGTGTCCCACGCAGTTTTTCAATAGGGTGCAGAACGCCAGGAACACGGTAGTAAAATAAATATCATATTAAACTTATTGAGTTAGTGATGGGGGCCTAGCTGAAAGGAGTAAGTGGTGTCTGAAAACAATAGTATTTGAAGTTAGATCAGCTTTTGCTGATATCCTAATTGTGGCGAGCTCAGTACCCCCACTCAGAGCCCCTTGCTTAGCAGGCCCTGCAAAGCCTATGCTCCTTCCCAAAGCTGTGTTTATGTAATAAAGAATGTCAGAAGTTCATGGATGTTTTGGCATTGCCGTTTCTCCCCCAATTTTCTTCCGTGTGGAACAATGTGTAATTCTGAGCTGTGGCTTTGCCTTGAGATTAAAATCCCCTACCTCTGCACCCCGAGTTCTGGGATTACAGCCATTGCATCACTGTGTTCTGAAAAACATTCTATTTTTGTCTCAGCCTCCAACCAGGGATGTCAGGTCCTCTGCTCAACAGGGGATCTATGATCTTATAATGACTCGCACACTGCAGAATCCCTTTACTGCTAGTGAATTTTTGAAACTGACTCAATCATGATGTCAGCCATGGGGTAACGAAGGTCCCAGCAATGGGGCTGGAGAGACGGCTGAGTGGTTAAATGTGAATTCTGCTCTTCCAGAGGATCCGAGTTCAGATCCTCAGCACCCATGTCAGGTGGCTGACAACTTCCTGTAACTCCAGCTCCAGGAGGACTGGTGCCCTCTTCTGGCCTGCTCAGGAATTGCCCTCATACGCACCCCCCCCCCCAACATACTAATACACACACACATACACACACAAAAGAAAAAGTCTGGGCAGAATGAATGTATATGCTCCTGTTTATTTGTTCAACTACTCATTCTGCTTTTGATGTATGTAAGATATTATAATAGGATAAATAGCTCTCCCCAAACAAACACATTGAGTTGTAGAAAGTAGGTTACAGTAGGTTTTATGTAGGTGAACTTGGGCTCGCGCATGCTTCAAGAAGCAGGCATTGGCACCAAAGGCTGACTAGCCTGTCTCTGTGCTGGAGAAGATACCTTGGGGGAACAATTATAGTCATTATTGTCAGAACCCTAAATAGACATCTTGACTCAACACTGGGTTCAACCTGGACAATGAGTTTCACCAGGGACTCTCAGTTCATGGGTTTTGAGAGAAGCCCCATAGACAAGGACCTAGACAAGAAAGTAACAGTTTCTTGAGGTGGCCAGAAAAGGCCTTTGTCAGCAGGTGCCAACCTGGCTATGTACTTGAGCACCCAAAGACCTTTAGCAACAGCCGTGTCCAGGCTGTACTTCCTTCTACCAAACCAGAGCTTCTGGGGTGGGTCTTTAAAGTGTGCATGCTTGGGCACATCTTAGGAGAGCCTCATTTGGTTTACTTGGGGTAGAGTTCCAATTTCCATATTAAGATATTAAACTTTAAAGCTTGTTTTTAAAAAATATTTTTATTTTATGTGTATGGGTGTTTATATGTCTGTCTGTGCATCACATGCATGCATTACCCATGAAGGACAGAAGAGAGAGTATCAGATTCCCTGGTATGGGAGTTAAAGACTGTTGTTGGCAACCAGGTGAGGACTGGGAATGGAACCTCTTGAAGAGCAGAAAGTGCTCTTTAATCCCGAGTCATCTCTGCAGCCGACAGAATCAGTATTTTAAAAAAGCTTGCTAGTTTATTTTAAGATAGAGTCACTGTCTTGGGAGAGGAGGGTAACATATGCTTATAGGTCTCCAAGGGCAAAAGCCAGACAGGTAGAGTTGTTCCACCTGCCTATCTGGGGAAGACATTCTGTATAATAGCCAAACCCATCTGCAAACATAGTAGTCAATTCTGGCTCATTTTCACTCCCATCACAAGGGCATCTTAATCCCTACCGCAATTCGTGTGTGTGTGTGTGTGTGTGTGTGTGTGTGTGTGTGTAAGAGAAAATCCTGGGCTTGGAGGGACAGCTCAGTAATAGACTTGACTAGCATACAGAGATCCTTGTGTGGTTTTTTTTTTTTTAAGATTTATTTATTTATGTACACAGTATTCTGCCTGCATATATGCTTGCAGGCCAGAAGAGGGCACCAGATCTCATTACTGATGGTTATGAGCCACCATGTGGTTGCTGGGAATTGAACTCAGGACCTTTGGAAGAGCAGGCAGTGCTCTTAACCACTGAGTCATCTCTCCAGCCCCCGAGATCCTTGTGTTTGAACGCCCAGAACTGGGGAATGGTGGATACAAATGAATCCTGTGCCTCTCATGCCTGTCACTAAAAGAACAGGTGAACTTCAGAACTGAGCTTGTTACCTGGCTCACCCAATCCTCAGGATTGCCTGTTCAACATCTTACATCATGAAGGACCTTTATTGTTAAACATCGAAATGGTCCTGTACCACGATCTATACGATATTACGCCTACAGCTCCCCGGGGCACTACAGGTCCGGGTTGTGAGCTGGGAACTAAGCTGGAGACTTCAACATACAAAGGCACACAAACGGAGAGAGACAGAGACATGGGTCACTCTTATTACAAGAGTGCCAACTTTATTGTGCTCAGGGGAAGCTTTAATAGGGCTCTGGCCGCACCCCAGCTCTCGGGATCTTTCAGCTGCAGACCCACCAGCGTGTCATCAGGGTCTCGTGTTCAGAGCAGCTGCAAGCATAGAAAAACAAGCCTCTCACAGGGAATTCAGGGTCCGGGGCTCCACAGTCCTCAACAGCTCCCAACACTTTATGCCATTTTTTATGCCATTCATTTGCCATTTGCCACCCCTCTCTGGTGTTATATGTACAACAATATTCGTGGCAAGCCCACACAGCTCCAAGCAGCAGGGCTGGGGTTTTCCTTCCAGACTCTGCTTCTAGACCAAGGGCTCTTCTATAGCATCCTTGATTGTTTGGGTTTGGGTAGTTCTTCGTCACAGGGCTGTCCTGGGTCTTATTTGTCAGCAGTCCTGGACTTCACGCCCAACACGATAGTGGCAATCTTCCAAAGACACCACAAAGACCGTGAGGAGACCAGGACAGGCTGCTCAAGGCTACCCTACGCCACTGTGTGTTGTATGCAGCAGCAACTTACAGGATGAGTATTGTCCTAAGCTTCATGTATCAAGCAGTGGAGCTTGAATTTTTAGCCTGAAGGTGATGCCGTTTCGGAAAGAGGTTGCAGAGGAAAGAGGTTGCAGAGGTAGGTGTATGATGTCACTTTAGAAAGACTGCTGTGGAGGGATCGGGATGAATTCAGGCAGTGTTAGGAAGCATGGAGAGAAGGCATAGGCTGGAGAGGCCTCGGAGAAAGACAGGGCTTCACAATTTGGTGGATAAAGAAGGAGGAGGAAGAGGAGGAGGGAGAGGTGATAGAGAAGGACCCCATTGCTAAGAACCAAGCACAGATGGGCAAGTGTTTAGGGAAGGTGAGGTGGTTGCCTGCAGAGAGTAGGCCCAAGGTAGAGGCTGCTTCCCTCCAGACGGGGTGTCTGTCATCTGCTAGGCTGGCAATCCTCCCATCCTTCCTTGGTCACTGGTAGCAAATCCAAGTTCAGGACTGAGTGGAACCTTAGCAGTATGTTCCTCCGGCAGTAGGAACATAGGATAATCCCAGAGATGAGATTTGGTCACTTTCTAGCTCCAAGTCCTCCCTCCCCACCCCAGGGCTGCAGGAAGAAATGATGCGGGTAAACATCGCTCTGTAAGTTCATCTGTTTCTACCTGCAGATGGAGGGGAAGGTGGGGAGGGAGAGGAAGGGGGCGGGAAGAAAGGAGGGCCTCAAGGTCCCCTGGAGGAGGAGGAGGAGGAGGAGGAGGAGGAAGAGGAGGAGGTCATCTTTGCCTCTGGGATCACAAGTGTGAGAAAGATGCCCAAGGCCTGAAGACCTGAAGTGCAGATTGCAGATCTGATTGGTGGGTTTCTGGGGAGTGGGTTTTTTTTTTTTTTTTAACTTTTATTCCTTCACCAAAGGCAAAATTAGAAACACCTTTTCCACTATTAAATTCATCATCTAGAGTTTTTTTTTTTTTAAGAAATAACCATGCAGTTCCACTTACATATTTGATGTTATTGTCCATGAGAGCCTGACTGGGTTACGAGGCCTAGGAGAACCCGTGTCTAGCAAACAGTTGGTCACTAAACTCTTTTAACAAATCAAAAGGAAACAACACACATCCTGCTTGAAGACTAGAGCGGAAGGTTTGAACTGGATTATAAAAAACAAAAACAGAAATCCAGACCAAACAAACAAACACGCTCAAGGATCAAAGAAGCTTTTCTAAACCGCATTCTAAGGAAAACAGCGTGAGCAGCATCCCTGGCCTGGCAGGCAGAAGACAGAGCCTGCAGGGGCCAATGGCCTCACCTGGCAATGTACGGAAGGGGAAAGAGCCTCAGCCAGGGAAGGGATTCACAAGTTCAGGGAAGCCAGAGGCGGGTCCTCCAAGATGCAGTTACTTGGCGGTAGGGCCTGTTCAGCTTGTAACAGCTAAGTACTTTGAAGAGCAGAACCAGGAATCAGGAGTGGATTGCAGACAGGCATCGCACCCGATTTGGCATGCAGTTGTCAACGATGGCCACTAGAGGTCAATATTAATAACGTTAAGTCAATTCCAAGAAAGGGCTCAGTTAGGTTTAATGTCAAATAATGTGGGACTTCCCAGCTTCAAAAATGAATGTTTTAAGAGGGAAAGAATTATGAAAAGCGCCCTGTTAAGAGGCTATGGGAGGTCAGGGCACCTCTTTGCCATAGTCTGTAATGTCACCCATCCCTATCATCATCTGTGTAGACTGGGAAAGGTTATGCAAGATTGCCCGCCATCTACCACCAGCAACTCCCAGTGCTGTCTGGTCTTGGGGTGATCTTGCTTATCTTGCATGCTGCCGTCTGACGCTAATTTTATTTATTTTTACTTTAGTGTTTTTTAAAAATATATTTTAGAGTGTTTTGCCTGTACGTGTGTATGTGCTCCACGTGTGTGCCATGCCCTCAGAGGCCAGAACAGGACATCAATCAAATCCCTTTAAACTGAGTTCCAGATGGTCATTAGCTGGGTGGTACCGAGACTGAATCCACATCTTCTGCAAGTGCATAAGCGCCGTGGATGGCTGGACCATCTCTCTAGTCCTGCAAAATCGAGGTTTTAGTATTTGTTTCTCTTCTGCATCATTATGTAGAGGCTTCTTAGAGAAGCGGCAAGTATGCACGCACTGTGTGCGTGCTTTTGCCATCTGTTGAACCCATTCAGCACGTGGCTCGGCTCATATTGTTG